GAATAAAATATGATTTACAATGAAAAAATAAAGAAAATACTTCAGATATAATTTAAAAAGTTCAATAACATCTGTCATAAATAGAGGGAGGTTCATGCTGCATGAGAGACTGTTCATGGAGGCCACAAAGGCTGATGTTGCGTGGGAAAGTGTTTAATGGATCATGGAAGAGAAAAAGTATGTTAAAGGATCACAGAAGGCTTTAAGTTGCATGACTGACTGACTGAGTTTGGTTTTACCCCGCTTTTAGCAATATTCCAGCAACATCACGGCGGGGGACACCAGAAATGGGCTTCACGCATTGTACCCATGTGGGGATTCGAACCCGGGTCTTCGGCGTGACAAGCCAACGCTTTAACCATTAGGCTACCCCACCGCCCCTTAAGTTGCATGAGAAACTATGTTAAGGATCACAGAAAGTTTAAGTTGCACGAGAAAGTGTGTTAATGGATCACAGAAGAGTTTAAGTTGCACGAGAAAGTGTGTTAATGGATCATTGAAAGGTTTACGTTGCATGAGAAAGTGTGTTAAAGGATCAAAGAAGGGTTTAAGTTGCATGAGAAACTATGTTAAAGGATCAAAGAAGGGTTTAAGTTGCATGAGAAAGTGTTAATGATGTTAGCAAGTGACAAAAATCTTACACATAAAAACACGGGAACACAGCAGTGACAAGTATACATGTATATATAGCACCGTGAAATGTTGAGGCAAGTCCATGCACACACTCATCCCTACAAAGACATGGACAAAAGTATAACAAATACAATCATTCATTTTCAAAATACAGAAATCAAACATGTAGTTCCCAAATCTCAAACTCAAACTCAGGGTTTGGTTTGATGCTGATTTGAACAGTAATCCAAAATGTAATCTGATCTGTGCTTGATATGGGAGAAAAGCATAAAGGGATGCAAGTCTTAGATGTTGACCACTTCAGTGAAACCCACGATCTGGGTATGGTGCTGACTAACCTAGAAATCATAAGCTCCTGGCATGCTCAAGGGAGGCAATTCTCTCCACAAATTGTGGTACCTTCCATGAAATGCCAACTACTAACCCCACTGTACCCCATCATACTGAGAATTTAGAAGCTTGTACATGTTTCCTGATTAGAAAGTTCACCCTGTGACTTTGGTCTAAGTTTCAAGGGACAGGTATGCTACTTTGAAAAATCTTGAAGGTCAACCGTTAGTTTTTGCTGATAGTGAAGACAAGCTAATGTTGCAGACAAATATGAAACAGAAATAGCATTGTTTAGTCATGACTACTAAAAGAGTATTTTAGGTAAGGATTTCACCAATATCTTTGTAACCCTGGAAATATCTGAGGACGTAATAGCACACCTCTCTAGACACACTATAATGATACCCTGAAGTAAATGCCACTAAAAAAGTCTACATGAAACATGAGAAATTTCATAAGTACTAGTAAAAAATAAGTTATAAATCCCATACAACAAAAGATGTTAAGAAAATAGAATCAAGAAGAATTTTCGATAAAGATAAAGCTTACCCACATGATGAAGAAAATGGCATCATGAACACTTCTGACCCTTGAAAAGCATTTTGCTATCATCAGGAAAATAGCATCATTAACATTTCTGGGTCAGGAAAAAGGAACCCAACATTATCATGAAAATAGCATCAAGAACATTTCTTGATCCTGAAAATGCATACCGACAAGATAAAGAAAATATTATCATGAACATTTCTTTATCCTGAAAATGCATATGAAGATAAAGAAAATATACTCATGGAAACGAATAAGGGAACACATGAAAGTACAAGTGTTCCTTTATTAATTTCAAGGTTTCTTCACAAGGTATGTATTGCACTGAGTGTAATTCTAGGAATGGATAAAGGAACACTTGTACTTTCATGTGTTCCTTTCATCGTTTGTATGAGTATAATATCATGAACATTCTAGATCCTGAAAATGCATACCGAAAAGATCCTGAAAATAGTATCATGAACATTCTAGATCCTGAAAATACATATCAACAAGATACTGAAAATAGTATCATGAACATTCTAGATCCTGAAAATACATATCAACAAGATATAGAAAATAGTATCATGAACATTCATACCGAAAAGATCCTGAAAATAGCATGAACATTCTAGATCCTGAAAATACATATCAACAAGATCATGAAAATAGTATCATGAACATTCTAGATCCTGAAAATACATATCAACAAGATATAGAAAATAGTATCATGAACATTCTAGATCCTGAAAATGCATACCGACAAGAAAAAGAATATAGTATCATGAACATGTCTTGATCCTGAAAATGCATACCGACAAGATCAGGAAAATAGTATCATGATCATTACCTAATCCTAACACATAAAAAAGCATGTTCCACATCTTGTCTTATAGACAACACACAACACATAAATATAATCCTCTAACATACTCTCATGCAGTTTGCATCATATACTGCCCAAAACAAGTTAAGGAACCTTTTCCTCTTTCATATGACAACAGTTATTCATGACATGACACATTAACAATAATTATAAGAAAAGTCATGTGTTCTTAACTTCTTCTGAACAGTATATACTTCCAACAGTTGCTTTGCAATATGGGTAGACGTAAATTCCAGACTTCACCAAAAAGAACATAGGTACAGCATATATGACTGTTGACATTAAATTCTCAGACGGAATCAAAATAATTTTTCATTTTTCGACACCAAACAATATTTCTTAATCAGAAGAACATCAGACAAATAACAAAAAACAGCACATATTATCAGAAAAACTCATAAACAAAACAGTCTACTCTATAAATCTATTAATAAATATGTTTATTTTCAAGTTGAAATATGTACAGAAGTATTTTGCAAAGACTTACAAAGCCATATAGCTATATACAAAGCATCATGTACACACGTCCGATACTGTAGGACGAAGCACTATACACAGGCTGTGGGGGGAGGTCTCCAGCTGCAGCAACAAGATCTCTACTGCTCACTATAAGGGATGATGATTTTGATTTTGTCGCTACACAGAGCTACAGGCTGCTCACATTCTTTTCCTTATACATTCCTGAACATTTCATATGAACAAACCCTGCTGTAATAAGTGAGTGAAAGTTATTTTATGCCGCATTGGCAATTTTGCAGCTATTCGCTGCGAGCCTGCCATAATGAACACAAATTGCAATCCCCCGAAAAATGAAAACTGCTTCTCTACCTAAAACACTTGCTTTCAAAAGTGCGCACTTATACTTTTGAACTTTCTATGTACTTATCCGGTTTGAATCATTGAGAGGGTAAAGACTTTCATCTGCCATCGTTCTACAACAACGCCGCTTAGCAACATCACAGCGGGGTACACCAGAAATAGGCTTCACACATTGTACCCATGTGGGGAATCGAACCCGGGTCTTCAGCATGATGAGCTCTTTAACCACTAGCTACCCTTCACCGTCCTTGTTATTAGAACATGATGCTTGCTCTTTGCCGAAGAATACAAAGTATGGTGCAGATTTTGGGGAATTGTTACGAAAATACTTGGACAGCCCATAGGTCTGTGTAGCCATAAGTCAATATCAAAATGTTTTATTGGGAGCAGTAAAGAGATGAGGCTACATGTAGGAGGCTGGCTAGCTACAAGATCATAGGGATATGTGCTGCTCTAATATCTGTCATCTACTTGTCACTCAGACATAACTATGATTCACTCAACAGTAACATTCTGATTGAGACCGATGGATATTTGCAGAATTGGTCAAAAGTGAAAAAAATACCAAACAACTGTGGTAATATTAATTTCCCCTAATTCCAAAACATATTTATCTTCAAGTACAGCAAATATTTCAGTTGAAAATCTTATTTTTTGTCATGTCTTATGAACCTGAAAATAAGAAGGGATGGATGATACTGCCTTGGCTGCTGAATCAATATAGTTACAGCAGCAGGCTGTCAACTCAGATATTCTTTACAATGAACATTGACAGATCTACGGAGGTCCATGCAAACGATGTTTGTTTAACGATGTACTCAGCAATATTCCAGCTAAATGGCCAGCAGTCTGGACCAGACAATCAAGTGATCATTAGCATGAGCATCGATCAACAAAACTGGGATACAATGTGCAAAATCATTGGACTCTAATACAATATTACTGTGTGAGTGTATTGGCTGTTTAGCGGAGCAGCACACAGCTATGATTTTGATGGATGGTATGTACAATGAGGTATGTGGTGACTCCAAGAGTCTAAAATCTCTGCATTGTCTCTAATACTGACTACGGAGGATGCTGGCAGTTGGATCTGTCTGCATCACTATAACAGCTTCCTTGGAGCTCGTAACCTCTACTTACTAAAACACAGGTGATTAGAGCTGAACCTATTTCGGTCATTCAGCCAGTATTCAAACAAAACATTTGACAGAAATGACTCCTGATTAATTTCAAAACCACAGAACTTCCAGCATGGTCATGAAGATTGCAGAGATTCTAAAGCTGAGTATTCAGACAGAGTAGTCTATGTGACGAAATGAAAGAGTCTAAGATAAGAAATACTCAGAGATGTGAGGGCAACTTGATCGCTACCTAAAAATATCGGTCCTCTCAGATCTGAACACAAGTAACCATACAGTAATCTGTCTCCAGACTCAAGTTCTGACTGTACCCATCTGTCACCATTGGTTACCATACAATCCTGGCCTCATCTGATAATGCCGATAATGGTATGTCAAAGAAAATGTGCTGAGGTTTTATTTCAGCTGCAGTCAGCAATGTTCCAGCTATATGGCGGCGGTCTGTAAATAATCGAGTCTGGACCAGACAATCCAATGATCAACATCATGAGCATCGATCTGCGCAATTGGGATACAATGGCATGTGTCAACCAAGTCAGCGAGCTTGACCACGAGTTCCTTTTGGTCGCCTGTTACGACAAGCATGGGTTGCTGAAGACCAATTCTAACCCGGATCTTCAGTGATAACGTCTTGTTCCAGAAAACAATTTTACAGCTGTCAGATGCAGGTTCTCAACATTTGGGGCAGTCGCAATGCTAAGACGGTCCAGCGGAGTCCCGAGTGCATCATCTATATTCAGGGGCATTTGTAGGATCCTGATCGTGGTGTTACAAGTCAGGGCCCACTTGCACAAAGCAATCTTAGCACAAACACCGTCTTAAGTCTTTGCTAGAGTTATTGGAGTTAAGATCAACGTAACGCTCAGATCGCTTTGTGCAAGTGGGCTCAGTTGTCCTGTGACAATGGATAAAGCAAAATCACCTCAAATGACTGGACCATCTGATGTGGATCACCATGGCAACAGGACCACCTGATGTGCATCACCTTTGATGACTGGACCATCTGATGTGGATCACCATGGCAACAGGACCACCTGATGTGCATCACCTTTAATGACTGGACCATCTGATGTGGATCACCATGGCAACAGGACCATCTGATGTGCATCACCTTTAATGACTGGACCATCTGATGTGGATCACCAAGGCAACAGGACCACCTGATGTGCATCAACTAAGATGACAGCACCACCTGATGTGGATCACCATGGCAACAGGACCACCTGATGTGCATCAACTTAGATGACAGGACCACCTGATGTGGATCACCATGGCAACAGGACCACCTGATGTGCATCAACTTAGATGACCACAGGACCACCTGGCAACAGGACCAGCCATGGCCAACTAAGATGACCACCACCTGAGTGTGGATCACCATGGCAATTAGACCACCTGGTGTGCTAGCATTAAGTAAGTATCATAATTCAATTAACATTAAGGACATATCCAAATAGCATTAGGATGATTTCTTTTTCACCTATAAGTTTAAAATTCAACATCAGGACATTTATAATAGATTTCACACTATTCGAAAACGAAAATAAAGATCCTAGTATCAATATGAAGGGTGGGAGAAGCACAAATATCTCACAAAGTATTAATAACATCTAACAGGTACTACAAACTGAATGAAATGGTATCATATACAATTTTCAAACTGTAAATATTAATCTGCAAATCAAATGAATATCATATACAATTTTCAAACTGTAAATATTAATCTGCAAATGTTTCACCAAATGTGAGAACCTCGGCATGAACTCTGTAACACCCACATACAATAACCAGTACAATCTTAGGGCAGTGTTACTATAAGATCTTAGAACACAGTCCTGAATCTAGGACATGTTGAGCTTAAATACATCAAAATTATGAGTGAGTATTGTTTTACAACACTCTTAGCAATATTCCAGCAACATCACGGCGGGGGACACGAGAAATGGGCTTCACACAATGTACTCATATAGGGAATCGAACTCGGGTCTTCGGCGTGACAAGCGAACGCCATACCCCATCGCCCCATAGAACTTATGAGGAAAACAAATTGTGAGGTCAACTGGGTACTGAGAGGTATGCAGAACGTTCAAGTCTCTGTGAACTGAGATGGGAAATACCACGGCTCTCCATAGGAAGCCTTGAACACAGACTATAGACTTACTATACCCAGGCTATAGACTTACTATACCCAGGCTATAGACTTACTATACCCAGGCTATAGACTTACTATACCCAGGCTATAGACTTACTATACCCAGGCTATAGACTTACTATACCCAGGCTATAGACTTACTATACCCAGGCTATAGACTTACTATACCCAGGCTATAGACTTACTATACCCAGGCTATAGACCTACTATACCCAGGCTATAGACCTACTATACCCAGGCTATAGACTTACTATACCCAGGCTATAGACTTACTATACCCAGGCTATAGACTTACTATACCGAGGCTATAGACCTACTATACCCAGGCTATAGACTTACTATACCCAGGCTATAGACTTACTATACCCAGGCCAGACAACATCTGTTCCTGTTTTACAGACTTCTTTTTCAGACAAAATGAAAATATATGTATATTTTGGCAACCTTAAAATGTAAGCACTGATTTATACTGAACTGTAAACAAGATACATGAACCTTGGTGCTTATCTTATATAAGGGTGTGTGAATGAGTGAGTTTAGTTTTATGCCACTTTTAGCAATATTGCAGCAACATCATCAGAACACCAGAAATGGGCTTCACACATTGTACACATGTGGGGAATTGAACCTGGGCCTTCGGCATGATGAGCGAACACTTATACCACCAGACTACCCCATTGCCTTCTTATATAGGAGCCTTGGACCCTGAAAACAGTGGTTCTTTTTAGGACTCACTGTATCCGAGATATTGCCTAAATATCCCATTGTAACAGGATGACTGTTTAAATGAACAAAAAGAGCTCTTTGATATTGAAATAAAAATATCTGAAAAACAGGAACAAATTTTGTATGCCCTTAAAACATTTTGTTAGAGGTTTTTTCCAGGTTGTAAAATTATCATCTATACAAACACAAAGAAACATATTCTACATCACAAACACACGAGGTAAAACAGGCTGACATGACACACACAGAAATATATCTTAAATATGTCCAAGGTTGTACAAGTAAGTAAACAGTTTGTAACCTTATCATGTGACGCTACCTCTGTCTGTGCGACTAGTTCTTGGCTCGATGAGTAACACGATCACGTGAGTAATCAAGTAGCTGGTTAAGTCATCCGATCGTACACAAACAGAAATAACATGACTTAACAGAAATTTCATGAAGAATCATGAAGACTGCTTTTGACAAATTATATACATCATTGAGTAGTCATCTGACATTAAGTTAGAGTACTAGTGTAGGAACTGACCATTAGTTTAGGGACCGACCATTAGTTCAGGAACCGACCATTAGTGTAGGAACCGACCATTAGTTTAGTGACCGACCATTAGTTCAGGGATTGACCATTAGTTTAGGAACCGACCATTAGTTTGGGGACCGACCATTAGTTCAAGGACAGACCATTAGTTTAGGGACTGACAATTAGATTAGGGACCAACCATTTGAAATTTGTGGTCGCTGAGGGTTAGGGGAATATTTTCCCAGAAAATGCTTGAAAACAATATTTATGTTTCAGATTTAAACTGCTAAAACATGATGTCTGCCAGAAAAATGGTTCTGATTAAACACATTTCAAAAACATAATTTTTCCTTTAAATCAAGGCTCATGGTGTTAAAATTGAAGAAAAATATGGTCTTTCATCTTTAGCTTGGCAAATATCCATTCATCATTCAACATCCCAGCAAAACCCTCCCGTCACCCCCTGAAACATCAAATGGTTGGTCCCTAACTGTTTGACCAAGTAAAGCATGTCATGATTCATGGTCTACTATCCAGAGGATTTCATCTCCATCCTATTATGATAAATACCCTGGGTGCAGTTGAACAAAGCAATCTTAGCTCTAAGGTGATCTTACATCAGTTGTAGCACTAAGGTGATCGTAACTCCCATACCTTAACTTACGACAGTCATAGTGCTAAGGTGATTGTAACTCCCATACCTTAACTTATAACAGTCATAGCACTAAGATGATCGTAACTCCCATACCTTAACTTACGACAGTCATAGTGCTAAGATGATCGTAACTCCCATACCTTAACTTACGACAGTCATAGCACTAAGATGATCGTAACTCCCATACCAATAACTTACGACAGTCATAGTGCTAAGATGATCGTAACTCCCATACCTTAACTTACAACAGTCATAGTGCTAAGATGATCGTAACTCCCATACAATAACTTACGACAGTCACAGTGCTAAGGTGATCGTAACTCCCATACCTTTACTTATAACAGTTGTAGCACTAAGATGATCGTAACTCCAATACAATAACTTACGACAGTCACAGTGCAGTGCTATAGGTTTATTATAACTACCACTAAGATGATCTTAACTCCCATACCTTAACTTACGACAGTCATAGTGCTAAGGTGATCGTAACTCTCATCTTTCTTATCTGACTTAAAGTTTACGTGTGTAATTTGAATTTGGCTTAAAAAGAATGGGGCCAGGGTATTTATAATAACTGAATGGAGATACATACTGGAGATTTGAGGATGGGTATAGTTTGGCCATTTATTCATCTTGCACGCAATCTTCTCTCAGTTTTAAATTATTACAGATAACAAGAACACTGTAGTGACACCACATGTCACGGGTAAGTATTGAATATGTATAATGCTGATGAACTTTGAACCCTGGCTTGTTGTCATGGTGACACATAGCAGGACCAGGCACAATGACAACATTGCCATGTTTACCCTGCTTGTCTATCTGTGACTAGATCATAATGATGTCACGATTTCATTGGGTTACTTGACTGTTTTCTAGCAGTTGCTATGGCAACATATTACACGACTGTCATGGCTGACAAACCATTTTGCCCTCATTGAAACAGTTTAGTTGTTTCTTTATTTATACCATGTTCTGTAGAACTAGGTTCCTGTTGCCATAGCAACTAACGGCCAAAGAATTACTTAGAAAGTGTTCCTAGATTTACATATTGCCATGGTAACCAACTGTCACATAATACTGCAGACTGCATCACCAGATATCTTATTGCAATAAAATCAAAGTATTTGGAGAATGCTTCACAAGAATATCTTGCTGCCATAGCAACAAGATGTCTGGGAAATGGAGTCATGTTGCCATGGCTACACAATTTTGTAGAAAAAGCCACTAAACAGGCTGAACAAGTTTATCAAAAAAGTTCCATATAGTCGATGCACTGTGAGATGTTCCAACACATTCTTTTACAGCCATAGCAATGAGTAGTCACAGTTTGCAAACATGTCGCTATGGTTACACAGTTTTGCAGGACAAGCCACTAGACTGCGTGGTGTTGGCAGCAGTGGGTGTCTCTGTCACGTACAACTCCTTCTGGTTTAGCTTCTGTCTCAGAAGTGGGTTTCTACAAACAACCATGTGAAGTTTGTTGCCGGCCTCGGCAATCAGCGGAACAGTCAGACAGCAGTCGAAGTCCCGCGTCTTCACTCGGTTCACCTGCAACCAAAATACAAACATTCACAAAAACATTAGGGCTGGCTAAAAAGATTGACAATTCGTAGATGGGAACAAATATTTACGATTATCATCATGAAAATTGTTTTATCATTGATAGCATCAGACATAAACTGTGATAAATAATGTAATTTACCGAAATAGACAGATTACAGAAACACTATAGATTTTGTTCAGAATGTTGTTTTTGTTAGTAGTTGCATAAATCTGTCACAACTCACCAGTGACATGAATCAGCTGAGGATTTTAAACTTTTTATTTGAAGTAACTTCCTTGCTATTGATCAATATTGATCGATTTTTGGTTAAAGATCTTAAGGGTCTTTGAATGGCATTTAGAGTGAGTGAGTGAGTGATGTTAGTTATACGCTGCACTCAGCAATATTCCAGCTATATGGCAGCGGTCTGTAAATAATCAAGTCTGGACCAGACAATCCAGTGATCAATAGCATGAGCATCGACCTGAGTAAATTGTGAACTGATGACGTGTCAACCAAGCCAGCGAGTCTGACCACCCGATCCTGTTAGTTGCCTCTTTACGACAAGCATGGGTTACTGAAGGTTCATTCTTACCCGCACCTTCATGGGTTAATGGCATTTAGAGGTGATACATATAAAGATCTGAAGGTTGACTGATCTCTGTGGTTGATCGCCAGCCCTACCAAACATCAAGTCTTAATTACAGTGGCTTACAAATGAAGGGTGCTTGTCATAGATTTTTAAAATTGCAAATATGGCAGAAAATAGCATAATCTTTGACATTCATCACAACACATGTTTCTATGAAAAGATCGTGCCACTGTCATCCTCTACCCTGTTGAGTATGTCCTGGCACAACCTGTGAATGAAATATCGCCAACACCCTTGACCCCTACCTCAGTAACTCTGAACCATGTTACATAAATCCTGGATCAACCTCTCCATCAGCCCTTAGCCTCACCTTCATTATTTCCAACCCTGAACAGTGTTTGAAAAATCATGGAACAATCTCTGAAGCTTCACCTCACCCTTAACCTCACCTCACTATCTGCACAACCTGAACCCTATATAAAATCCTTCCTTAACTTTTGAGACGTCACTGTTGACCCTAACCACATGGTCACCATCTCCATCCCTTAACCCTGTCCATAAATCTTGGATCAACCTCTGGAGCCTCATCTTCACCCTCTCTAACTTTCCTGTTTCATAACTCCTGGATCAACTTCTGAGACCTCAACATCTCCATCCCTTAACCCTGTCCATAAATCTTGGATCAACCTCTGGAACCTCATCTTCACCCTCTCTAACTTTCCTGTTTCATAACTCCTGGATCAACTTCTGAGACCTCAACATCTCCATCCCTTAACCCTGTCCATAAATCTTGGATCAACCTCTGAACCTCATCTTCACCCTCTCTAACTTTCCTGTATCATAACTCCTGGATCAACTTCTGAGACCTCAACATCTCCATCCCTTAACCCTGTCCATAAATCTTGGATCAACCTCTGGAACCTCATCTTCACCCTCTCTAACTTTCCTGTTTCATAACTCCTGGATCAACTTCTGAGACCTCAACATCTCCATCCCTTAACCCTGTCCATAAATCTTGGATCAACCTCTGGAGCCTCATCTTCACCCTCTCTAACTTTCCTGTTTCATAACTCCTGGATCAACTTCTGAGACCTCAACATCTCCATCCCTTAACCCTGTCCATAAATCTTGGATCAACCTCTGGAACCTCATCTTCACCTCTCTAACTTTCCTGTTTCATAACTCCTGGATCAACTTCTGAGACCTCAACATCTCCATCCCTTAACCCTGTCCATCAATCTTGGATCAACCTCTGGAGCCTCATCTCATCTTCACCCTCTCTAACTTTCCTGTTTCATAACTCCTGGATCAACTTCTGAGACCTCAACATCTCCATCCCTTAACCCTGTCCATCAATCTTGGATCAACCTCTGGAGCCTCATCTTCACCCTCTCTAACTTTCCTGTTTCATAACTCCTGCATCAACTTCAGAGACCTCAACATCTCCATCCCTTAACCCTGTCCATAAATCTTGGATCAACCTCTGGATCAATCGTTTCCCAGTTTCTTTAAGCTCACCCTCACCCCTAATGCAAACCTCACCCCTCATCTTCACCCTCTCTGAGACTCCTCACCTTTCCTGTTTCATAACTCCTGGATCAACTTCTGAGACCTCAACATCTCCATCCCTTAACCCTGTCCATAAATCTTGGATCAACCTCTGAGCCTCATCTTCACCCTCTCTAACTTTCCTGTTTCATAACTCCTGGATGAACTTCTGAGACCTCAACATCTCCATCCCTTAACCCTGTCCATCAATCTTGGATCAACCTCTGGAACCTCATCTTCACCCTCTCTAACTTTCCTGTTTCATAACTCCTGGATCAACTTCTGAGACCTCAACATCTCCATCCCTTAACCCTGTCCATAAATCTTGGATCAACCTCTGGAACCTCATCTTCACCCTCTCTAACTTCATCCCTGTTTCATAAATCCTGAATCAACTTCTGCAACATCTCCATCTTCACCCTCCATCAATCTAACTTCATCCCTGTTTCATAAATCTGTTTTTCCCAGTTTCTTTACCATCTCATCCCCTCACCCTGTCCATAATGCAACCCTCACCATCTCCGACCCTCAAACTTTCCTGTTTCATAACTCCTGGATCAACTTCTGAGACCTCACCATCTCAAACACTCAAACCTGTTTCATAAATCCTTTAAATTTAAACTTCACACTCATCCTAACCCCACCTTCACCATCTTTCCAACCAAACAAACTCTCAGACCTCACCATCTCCAACACTCTTTTCATAAAACCTAGATAAACCTCTGAAACTTTAGTCTTACTCCTAACCCCATTCTCTCCGCCTCCAACCCTCATGTAACTACGACAACCTGAGTCACACCTCACCTGCAAGATCCGATCGTACATCTTGAGTCCAGCCCTCTGAGCCGCACTACCCTGCCTCACAGCACTGATAAACACACCCTTCTCGTACATGCCATCTGACAGGCTGAACCCAAAGTCCTCCACGGCGGTATCTTTCTCCACCGTCACTCGATGCAACTGTATTGGCATTGGCGTGAAAATGGTCTGCATGTGTTCCTGGAAGGTGCGTGACGCCGGCAACGATTCCTTGGACCGTGACTTCACCTGCGAGTTGTTATACCGACTGATACAATCCTGCGACATGGCGCTCCGGTTCATTCTACATGCACTTTGTGATCTCGGCTTCCTTGCATCATCGTCCGAAGCACGTGACCGGCGATCCAAACTGGCACAGCTGCGTTCTCGAAGGCTCAGTCCGATCTGTCGCAACATCTCTGAACCAGATCCTTTCTCAAAGTCGGCGAGAGTTTTGGCCCACTCGTCAGGCTCGAAGCTGGAGCAGTCACTGCCTGAGTCGTTATCCCATTCTTCGTCAGACATGTGCATGTCTGCCATTCCTTCCCCGCTACCTTCCAGGACCCCTGCTGAGTCTGTCGACATCGGTCGCATCAAGTCTGGAAGAGAGAGCAGTAAAAATAGGTCAACTGGAAAACAAAAATAGGTCAGATCAATAAGCTAACTTTTGTTTTGTTTGTTGTTTAATGCATACTCAGCAATATTCCAGCAATATGGCAGCAGTCTCTAAGCAATCAAATCTGGACCACACAATCCAGTGATTGACATCATGAGCATCGTTATACGCAACTGGGATACGATGACATGTGTCAACCAAGTCAGCAAGTCTGAGCACCTAATCCTGTTAGTCGCCTCTTACGACAAGCATGGTTTGCTGAAGACAAATTCTAACCTGGACCTTCACAAGTCCAATAAGCTGACAAGAAATCAACATTCATTTTACAGTATTGCCCCTAAACTGATTGAGGTCTTTATTGTAAAAACAAACTTCATTTGCATTTGTTAGACTATGTAAAACTGTGAACTTGTGTTTGTGAACAAAAACAAGCATTAAACTGGGATGGTATTAAGTTATAGCATTTTCGGAAGACTCTAGCGCATGACAAGGACAGGTAACTCTAACCTTACTTTAGTCACATGGTGTGTCTACTTCTAAGATGAGCATTTAAAGAGAAACACAAGTCCAATCTTAAGAGAAATGTAATAACAGCATGCAAATGACAAAAATCCTTTAAATTCACATTAAAGATCAATTCCTGAAAATATACAGCTGCAGGTTCTGAAGAAACGTTAAAAATATTTTCAGAGTTCTGTTACTTCAAGGAAAGATACAGAATCAGTTTAGACATTTACCCATCATTTTCTTGTTCCTTGGCTGCGGTACTGCAACGACCAGAGGTTGAGAGTTCCCATTGAGATGGCTGTGACCGATATCCTGTCCGGAACTGTCCCACGACTCCAGAGCACTATCCACGCTGGGGATGGGCGTGGCCGGCTTCATATCCTCTCCCTCATACTGGAATCAACAACACTGGTATTAACAAATGTTGTCAAAGAGGCGGTTCACTGGGTTAGCCTAGTCGTTAATCAGGTTTCAAGGCCCCTATATAAGACTGACTGACTGAGTTTGGTTTTACGCCGATTTTAGCAATATTCCAGCAACATCATGGCGGGTGACACCAGAAATGGGCTTCACGCATTGTACCCATGTGGGGATTAGAACCCGGGTCTTCGGCGTGACAAGCCAACGCTTTAACCATTAGGCTATCCCATCGCGCCCCCCCTATATAAGAGGGGCAATGGGGTGGCCTAGTGGTTAAAGCGTTTGCTCATCACATCGAAGCCCTGGGTTCGATTCTCACATGGGTACAATGTGTGAAGCCCATTTCTGGTGTCCCCCACCGCTTATATTGCTGGAATATTGCTACAGTCACAGAAAACCTTACTGACTTTCAAAGAGGCATGTATTCAGGATTAGTTCCTCAGGTAGGGAATCAGTTGCTTCATATCGCGGCATGGTAAGATGACACACCAAAATGAATGTCAGCACAGGAGCACATTGGTAAAATTAATGGACCGGGCCTCGGGTGGTGTTGTAGGGTTAGCCCACCCGAGAGCAGGTCGGGTTCACCAAAATGAATGAGTCAGTATAATGTGTCTGAGTGGGGTATTCTATGCTTCACTGCGGCATGGTATCTCAGTGGGCTAGCAAAAAAAGCTTCAGTCTGGGCTATACAAGCAGGTAAGCATGCCCTTTAAATATTCAAGCACGACGTTAAACCCTTCACTAATTCAGACCAAAACTTGGGGATGACTTATAACATTTGTCATTGTCAGACTTACCAGTTGCAGCAATCTATGTTTAGATCCTGAAAGACAAAAACAAAGATGTCTATGATATGAGTACAAAAAACATGTCTTTGAATACAAGAATACTGTCTGAATGAGGTATTCTACTGAGAAAATTAGTTTCTCAAGCAGAAATAAACTCAATACATTTTACACAAAGTGGGCATTCTATCATCCACCTTTCAGTTAGTCTAGGCTAAGTATAAGTGAAAAGCAGACACATAGTAACAGCTAGCAGTGTATTTTAAACTTACAACAGTATTGGTATGAATGTGAGAGTGAGTGAGTTTCTCTAGTTTTAGAAACTGTCAGAATTTCTGACAATAAGCTTTCAAACGGTACAAATGAGAGTCACCCTTTCCCTGGAGGTGATCCTCAATCTTTTAACAGGGACATTCTGACAATAAAAACAATAAAAATCTGAAAAAAAATAATACTGTCTGAACTCTCTACCAAACAATATGTACAATGAAATTGTGCAGACACATGTAGCTGGATCATAATCTTCAAAATGATTCATGTTGTCTTTCCATGATAAATCATTTATTTCGGTATAACATCATTTCTCACCCATCAGCATAGGCCTGGCTATCTTGAGAGTGACCACATCTCCGGCCATCTGCAGCATGTTGATGGCCACAGACAAAGGTTTCGCTCTGGTCAGCTTCCCATTTATAGCCAGCAGACGATCTCCAATGTGAATAGCACCCGTCCTGATGAACCAAAAATATAAATTATTAAGCAGCTAACCATCAAACATACTATAAGGCTGGAAAGAAGTTAAGCATCACACCTTTATTTTAATAATAATTGAGCTTCAAGTATCTTTAAAATTGTGTCAATAATTTCTTATTGTATAAATCTGTAACCTTTACAAATTGACCTACTTCTCTGCAAGTCCCCCTTCGACGAGGTCCGAGATGATGATGGGGTCAAGAGGGTCCTCAGTGCCGGTGATGGTCACTCCCAGCGGTCCCCCATGTCTCTGCAGCTCCACTGTGTACGTCACGCAGCCTTCTGTGTTGTCCTCTGTCGGGATAAAAGACATGATTATCTCCCTTGATAAGAATACACACATATCGTGGTGTCTTGTCAGATTGTATTAAGATACAGCCATAAAATTCACAACTAAGCTACTTCAGGTAAATTCTAAATAGGACATTCTTACTGACTTCTGGGAGGGTGTGGTAGCCTACTGCCTTGTGCAAAGCTAGGGTTGAGAGGGGGCTGGGGCCGCTTTTTGACGGTGGGGGTCCCCTATGAAAATCTTTAGATATAGCCTGGAAATATGAAATTTCTGGGCATACTTAACCAGATAATTACTCAAACGAACATATTTACAAAAAATTCTTACAAACATTCTATATTTACATAGATATTTGTATTTTCTAAAAATCAGAGTTTTTATAGACAAATCGGAGTGTGGATTTTGTATTTGAAAATCAGAGTAACTCCTCCAAAATCGGAGCGTTTGGCATCTCTGTGATATTACTGGAATATTGCCAAAAGCAGCATAAAACCATACTCATTCACTCACTCAAATACTTCAAAGCTACCAAGGGGGTGGAAATTCTTTCAGGGCATTCTTACTGACTTCTGGTGCGATGGGGTAGCCTAGTGGTTAAAGCGTTTGCTTGTCAGGTTCGATTCCCCAGATGGGTACAATATGTGAAGCCCATTTCTGGTGTCCCATGCTGTGATATTGCTGAAATATTGCCAAAAGTGCCATAAAATCATACTCATTCACTCACTTACTGACTTCTAAGCTACGTAGGGGTGGAAATTCTGTGAGGGCTACCTGCATAAGGGTCTTCCCTCTTCAGTTTGAGCTTGATGATGTCATCGGAAGACTCCAGCAGAGTAATAGCATCCTCCACTGTACAGTTCTCCATGCGGATGTCATTGACGGCCAACAGCTTGTCACCAGGCTGCACCGAGCCGCATCTACAGACGGCAGATATACACACTTGTTAGGAATTGAGAAATCTTTTGTGATGGACATTACACTGAGGTATATCCACAAACGCTTAAGTCTGTTGATCTTACTGTTTTGCTGTGACAAGTCGATAAAATAAGTAAAGGTGTGTGGATGAACTGGAGAGTTGCCTCCCTTGAAAGTCACTTCTGTCACTACTGATCCTTGATTTGTCAGTACTGGAGAGTTGCCTCCCTTGAAAGTCTGGATCTGTCAGTTCTGATCCTTGGTTTGTCAGTACTGGAGAGTTGCCTCCCTTGAAAGTCCAGATCTGTCAGTTCTGATCCTTGGTTTGTCAGTACTGGAGAGTTGCTTCCCTTGAAAGTCCGGATCTGTCAGTTCTGATCCTTGGTTTGTCAGTACTGGAGAGTTGCCTCCCTTGAAAGTCCGGATCTGTCAGTTCTGATCCTTGGTTTGTCAGTACTGGAGAGTTGCCTCCTTGAAAGTCCGTGATCCGTCACTTCTGATCCTTGGTTTGTCAGTACTGGAGAGTTGCCTCCCTTGAAAGTCTGGATCTGTCAGTTCTGATCCTTGGTTTGTCAGTACTGGAGAGTTGCCTCCCTTGAAAGTCTGGATCTGTCAGTTCTGATCCTTGGTTTGTCAGTACCAGAACTGTACTCTTGGATTAAATTTTCCAGATCTGTCTGCCCATGCTATTTGTTTGCTGTGTAATGTTGCATTCGGAAATATTTAGTAAATAAAAGGGACAGCCAGGTGTGCGAAAGGATGGAGACGGCACAGCACAGGCTAATAAATCAATAACTTGGTGGGCACTTGTGCACATGCTTCTCTAACACCTGGCTGTCCTTTCTCTGCACTCCTCCCTCGTAAGAAATAGTGAACTGTGTCAAATTTTAATGATAGTTTCTTAAAGAACTTCTTTGGTGGAGTCCGGAAAATTTTCAAATATAAGAAAGCTGTTGGGTATTAGTAAATGATAAACATGTGTACTATTTCTATTTATGGGGCAATTTTGTACAATGATAAAATTTGCAATTCATCGGTCCGCTTCTGACTCAAACGGTCTGTAAATCATGCAAAATAATGGCCTGATTAATGATGGTATTTTACCTTTTGTAATCTTTGCTTAGTTTCTACATTTTGGGGCTAGTGAATCATTTTGTGGGCTAGTAACTTTCAGGCATAGCTAGCTCGAGTGGCAAGCAAAATTTGGAAACTATTTCGCACACTGGTTCAGGGACTGTGAGACAGACTACATGTCCGCTGCTCCACACCCATGACTGACCTGTATGAGACACTGCCTTTCCTCACACCCGTGATGATGAGCTGGTCTCCCTGCTTCCGCTGAGATGGAGCTGTAAAAGGCGGACACCCATCACTCAAAGCCTTGTCTTGAACCCAACTCCTAGTCGGACAATCTAGTTCGGACAATCCAACAATATATTGTAATGTTTACAAGGCGAAGGTACATCAACAAGTATTGAATGATAGATGGTGTGTGTTGTATGGATATTGGGAGTATTTTTGAAAATTCAAGTTGGACAATCTAGTTCGGACAATATATATCAATGTTTTCAAGGCACAGTGTGTGAGAGACTCTGGTTTTACGCCGCTTTTAGCAATATTCCAGCAGTAATGGGCTTCACATATTTCATTAAAGTACAATCCAGTGATCAACAACACGAGCATCGATCTACCCAATTGGGATACGATGACATGTGTCAACCAAGTCAGTGAGTCTGACCACCTGATCTCATTAGCTGCCTCTTACGACAAGCATGGGTTGCTGAAGATCTATTCTAACACGGATCTTCATGGGTCTGTAGAATGTAGGAGCATGGCAGTTGGCTAGTGTCCATCCCTGGCTACTGGACCTACCAATGATGGTCATGCCCAGACCTCCGGGTTTCTTCGGAATGCGAACAACGTAGGTTCCGGAACTTGGTGTAACTGATTCTGAAACAACAGATACATCAGGTCATGTTAATGTCACAAACTTGGAAACTTCGTCTAAGAAATTTCTATTCCAACTCTCATCTTAATTTAACAAGAGATGACAAATCACCCGTCTCCCACAAATTTGATAAGGGTATTCATCAAGTCCTACAAGAGTCATACGTCCAACTTCATGACAGTATGTATCCATCCATCTCCAGGTTATTGAGCTATTGAAAACAAAGGAATAGGGATAAGGTGCTTTGTGTTTGTATGTCAGGTTTTATTGTGTTAAGATGATCAAGTGGATGTCAGAAATAGTAGATGGCTAATGATATAATATGTTACAAAGCACCTGGTAACAGAAAAAAAAATAAAATTCTGAAAATCCCTAACTATGAAAAGGCACCAATTGACCACCTGATCAATGTGTGTGCAGTGTTTGGTGAATACTTATCAGTTTTAGAGATATGATCTGGATAAGGACACTACTATTAACAGAGTCAAAGTCTAAGTTGTTGCCATGGTAACGGGGGGAAAATAAAAATTCTTAAAATTCCAAAAATCTGTAATATCAAAAGGCACCACTTGGCAACCTGACCAACGTCTGTGCAAAGTTTGGTGAATGAATACTTATTAGCTTTACAGATATGGTCCGGACAAGGACACAACTATACTCACACACAAAAGTAACGCAAGTCAAGTATAAAGCAGATATGTATGTAATTTTCAATATTAAACACAAGAAATGCAAACAGGGTCAGATAGACAAAAAAACTGAGTGAAGACATTTCATTGGCTACTAAGACTGATGACATCATTAAGTTTCTGAAGGTAAAGGGGTTGACAAGAGCGGATCTCGCTGGTGTTTATGGGTAATGTGCCGATCTTGTCGAGGGTTTGTGACCCTTGGACGACCGCTCCGAGGAAGGTCATCTGTGGTCTTTGTGGCGTTGTATCGATGCTGGAGACGGTAAATAGTGGTTATGTTTACATCGAAATGGACGGGCACCATTTTGGTCAGACACTCCAGCTTCCAAACGTCTGATAGCCTGGTTTCTTTCAATTTGAGTTAAGCGTGGCATTGTTGAACAAGGAGTAATAGACCTAATTTTTGTGCAGTCTTATACCCACTAATGGTGGTGACAATTCGTGCATGTTGGATTTCACGAGAAGTATGTGCATGATATCCACATGTTCATTGGTATGGTGCATTTTGGTGATTCCTTCTATTGATGTGTTTTTGCTTAGGCCTTCCAAAACGCAACAAAAATGAATGAAAACACTGTCAGACTTCACTATATGCCAAAAACCCGTATCAATTTAGGGTCCGAGTTTGTTTCCTATTTGGATAAAAAACTTGCGTTTCTTATGCGTGTGAGTATATAAGCCAAGTCAAAGTCAATTTTGTTGCTTTGAAACAGGAAAATAAAAATTCTAGAAATCCCTTAACAGTAAAAAGCACCAGTTGACAATCTGTTCTTTGTGTTAAAGAGTTGGACAAAATCAAACTCAATCTCCAACCAACCACATCAAGATTTCTCAACCAACCTGTCACATCAAACTCAATCTCCAAATCAAACTCAATCTCCAACCAACCACATCAAACTCATTCTCCAACCCACTTGCCACATCAAACTCAATCTCCAACCCACCTGCCACATCAAACTCTATCTCCATCATACACCTCGGCCGCGAGTCTCTCAGCAACTGGTTCACCTCCTCCAGAGTCTTGTCCGACAGGTCCACGCCGTTGACAGTCAGGATGCGATCTCCTTCCTGGATCACTCCACACCTGAAGATACAGCCAGAAGTTAGTGGCCACAATAATCCCACATTACAGAGCTGGTGTGACAATAGAGTGACGATAGAGCCTGTAAGTCTCGCCGAGGTGCTACTTCCGGAACTAAGCTGGTTCCCAGCACCCTTTGCGAGCGCCAACTTTCGATATGCAATACGGGTCCCAGCTAACTTCGGTACCAGATTTCCGGTGACAAGCGTATATTCAAGAACTAGTTCTGGTTCCAAATTGCGCTACCGCCAAATAAGACTTTACTAGACCGGACCAAGCGTACAAACATTCTTGGTTGTCACGGTTGTTGATAATTCTAATAGCTGGCTAATTTGGGGATAGTTAGATCGGAAATTTGTTATTTCTGCAAGGATTATTGGTTCCTTACTGTCAACTGACAACCATGAGACCTTTCGAAAAGGTATGAAATGTTTGTCACCAGAAGTACTAAGGTCTCGCGAAGTGTCGTGACCTACTTATGGGGCCCTATTGTGCTTTGGAACAGTCCTTCTGTTATCATAGCATACCAACTTAATGTAGGAGTGACCCGAGTACACAATGAGTAAGTGTTATCATGCATGACAAGATCAGCAGAGTCCAGTTTTACACCACTTTTAGCAATATTCCAGCAATATCATGGCGGGGGACACCAGAAATGGGCTTCACACATTGTACACATATAGGGAATCGAACACGGGACTTTGGCATGGCAAGTGAATGCTTTAACCGCTAGGCTACCCCAACAACAACAACAACAACAACAACAACAACAACAACAACAGATAATCAGCTCCGTGGTCTTACTGCTCAGCTGGGCTGTTTGGGTCGATGTAGGCGATGACTGGAGGTTCGGACAAGGTGGCTGTGGAGAAGACACCCCCTTCTAGCTGGATCCCGAGGCCCTTCTTGTCACAGAACAACATGACCTCAGTGGCTTCAGGGTGACACACCTGGTTGTTGGCGGTCAGGACGGATGTGGTGTTGGAGGCGATGGACACTGGATAGAGGAACAAGACACAGGTTTTAACTGTCCAGTATAGTGCATATCATAGTGCCTTTTCTAAAGCTTATGTTTTAATTAAAAGCCTGTTACTTAATGGCTGTTATACGCTCTTGGTTGAAAGACTTGCTCATTTTCAAATTGAATGCATGTAACTAATTTGGATTTCGGTCGTGATAGCACCTGGGTCCCACACCACTGGATTAATTTTAGTCACCTTTACCACCCAGCATAGGATGTCTTGTTTATAAAAGTCTCCTACTACATAAAAGAGGCCCCACTGCTCGATGGTGCTGTTTTCCGGACAGACACCCCTCCTACGCTACTAAAGACACGGTCTTGACTCAGCTTCTCTATCCACTCTGCTACCATGGTTCTGTTCTTTCTGGACAGACACCCCCTCCTACTATACAAAGACACGGTCGAGGCAGATGGTGCTGTTTTCCAGACAGACACCCCTCCTACGACACAAAAGACACAGTCTCGAGGCAGCTGCTCTACCCACTACACGATGGCGCTGTTTTCTGGGCAGACACCCCTCCTACTATACAAAAGACACGGTCTTGAGGCAGCTGCTCTATCCACTGCATCATGGCAGCAGTCCCCTGACATATTCTCTAACCACTATACTACAGAGACAGTTCCAGGTGATGGGCTACTCACTGCAAGAGGATATCTTTCTGTCCGATCGAGTCCAGTTCTTCTTGCTACGCCCCGAGCCCCTTGACGGCAGAGTGCCAAAGGGTGCGGACGCTGAGGACCCAAGGGTGTTGTAGCTGCGGCTGGGGAGGGTCCCAAAGCCATTGAAGGAGGAAATGGATGGCGGCAACTGTGGCAGATTGGGGAGGAGGAGGCAGCGGGGGCGTTGGCCAGTGCTGGAAGGATGTGTCAAGAGAGGAGGAGGGGGGAGTGTTTATGTTTGGGACCTTGGAGAACCTCCTATACCTAATGTTGCACAGACACAGGTAAAAGTGTAATTATCATAGAGAATAATATTTTTAAGCTTTCTGCTGATTTGCTACTATTTCTACTGACATTTATCTACACATTCTCACTGAAAGTTCTATGGATATTTTAATATAACAACTTGAAATTACAAATTATCTGCATGGAGTGTACTAATATTCTAATTACCTCCTAAAGGCTAAAAATGCAGAAAAAGTAATTTTTTAAAATAGATAGTCCAAATTCATTGCAGATCAAAGAATCCTCTTTAAATATCCTTTTGCTAATACTGTATCGAGGTGAGTGTATTCATCAAACATGATAGAATGGATATTTAAATCACCTGTTTTGGTCAGCGCCTCCCGGGATGCCTTGTACTCCAGATGGGTGACAGGCAAGATCTCCAGCTTGATCACCTCCTCTGGTCCACACTTCATTAACTGGGTTGCCTCGGCAACAGACATATGTTCCACACTCTATTGCCATCTATTGCCAGAATATGGTCACCAACATGAAGAGCACCACTCCTGTAAAGGGATAAACAGTGAATCATTGAAACTTGATACAGATGTCAGAACAGTTTTGAAGTACAAACATGTTTTCAGTGATTACTGATTTCAAATGGAATTTTATCTAATATGTTTTAAATTGTGTGCTGTTGTGTGGCTGAATTGTGTTCTGTGCTGTGGAGTGTAGCTGTGTTCTGCTGTTGTGTACTGTGGTTGTTGTGTTACACTAACATGTAACTGTTCTGCTGTGGTGTGTAGCTGTGTTCTGCTGTGGTGTGTAGCTGTGTTGTGTAGCTGTGTTCTAATGTGGTGTGTGGCTGTGTTCTGCTGTTGTGAGGCTGTGATCTGCTGTGGTGTGTGGCTGTTGTGTGGCTGTGTTCTGCTATTGTGAGGCTGTGATCTGCTGTTGTGAGGCTGTGATCTGCTGTGGTGTGTGGCTGTGCTCTGCTGTGGTCTCACCTGTCAGCTACACTCATGGGTGTGATGGTATCGACACAAACACAGCGACCCTAGTGAGCACTTTGTGACAGTGTGATCGAGATGTGACCCGGTGTTGTGTCAATCTCCACCAGCAAGGGGCCATTGGCGTTTTTGTACAGACTCTGGGGAGAGAGGGATTAAGATGATCAACTTCATGTATGAACTATATCAGTTGGGTTGGGTTTATGCCTCTTTTAACAGTCTCATAGCACACAGCTTCATGTGGAAAGAAAATCTGAAATTATGAAAAGTTTGAATGTGTTTTTACTTCAATCAAACCCATAAACATGGGAATGTTGCTGACAAAATAAATATCTGTGACTTCATCAGTGTCTGGCCTACCAATGGAATGCAACTTTTTACAGTCCCTTTTGGAGTCTTTTAAGTTGGTGGGAATTGATCCAGGTTCGGAATCAAGTGTTCACATATAAAGCAAACCACTGCCCTCCCATTTCAAACTGTTATTTGATGATATTCACAACACGTAAAAGGCACTTACAAATGGAACCTGATGAAAACAAAATGGATACAATCACAGCCCAGTCCAACACTCACCCATGACAGCGCTCTCAACACTCACAGCTGCCATCATACTTGATGGAGAAGGTAGCGACCTGCTCAACACTTACCCATGACAGCTACATCATACTCGATGGAGAAGGTAGCGACCTGCTCACACTGCTGCAGGAATGCCATGGTTTCAGACAGACTGAGGTGTGTCACCTTGTAGTTGTTGATGAAGATGATGCGGTCACCCTCCTTCAGTGAACCCTCCCTGAAAGCAACAGCATCACACACCTATAGCCACACTTATAAACTAGCTCTTCTCTTTCACACTACCATTGAGCCATTAGACTTCTTTTAAAAATTTCTTTATGAATTTGCTGAAGAAATAGATGCATAACTGTATCATTAATGAAATACTGTTGTTCTTATTCTGTGAATAAAAAGCAAGTAAAATGTAAACATTTTAAATGAATATTTGATAAATTTAACAAATATCAAAGCTGTGAAACAGACATCACAAACATCCAGACCTGTATTAATTCATGACTGAGTTAGTATGGTTTTACACCGCTTTTAGCAATATTCCAGCAATATCATAGCAGGGAACATCAGAAATGGGCGTCACACATTGTATCCATGTGGGGAATCAAACCCGGGCATTCAGCGTGATTAGCGAACGCTTTAACCACTAGGCTACGCAACGCACTATTTAGTCATGAAGCGGAATAACCTGTCAGAGAGATGAGGCTGTACCTGTCAGCCGACCCCCCGGGCCGGATGCTGGTGATGGTGAGGGGATGGGCCCTCATCTGGTCTATCTTCATCCCCCCACGGAGCGTGAATCCGAAGCCCATTCCATCCCGTTCAAGGACCACCTCCGCCGTCTTGCACTGCACACTGAATGATGTCCCACCTTCAAACATGAGACAACACTCATATAACATGTACAACAAGTTTGAATAGGTATGGTGACACGTCATTGGCCAGACCTCACAGTGGAGGTTAGGTGAGGGGAGGTGAAATCAGGGTTTCACGTTGCACTTAAGAATATTTCGCCCATATGATGATGTGCATGCATGTGTATGTGTGGCTGCTTGTACTAGCCCAGACTTAAGCTGGTTTTATAGTGCTAGCTCACTGAGATACCATGCCGCAGTTAAGCATGAAAACCCCTCTCAGACACATTATACTGACTCTGAGATGACCAGTCCTTGTTATACCCATTAATGCCAAACGCATGAGTGAGTGAGTGAGTGAGTGGTTTTACGCTGTTTTTAGCAATATTCCAGCATTATCACGGTGGGTGTCTCTGAAGAAAATATCAGTAGGGAATGGCGTTTCAGACTTCGTTTTAATGCTGTATTCTAGATGACTGCACGAGGTTGAGCCACACAGTGCACTAACTCTGTGCCAACTGGTCCTTGGTCCAACAACAACAAGCACCATCTTTTAACATTTTCGGTATAAGACAGCCAGGGATTGCACGACCAAACTTGCATTCAGCTGCTCTATTGACTCTTTATCAAAATATTTCCTGGTTGTAAATTGGTAATGAATGTCAATGTGTAATAATGTCAATAAAACGCAATAAAAACAGTTGGAATCAATCACCATGGTAACAGCATCCTATAGCTCACCTAGTTCTGGCAGCTCATACTCCACCTCCAGAATGATTCTTTCTCCGGCATTCTTTAGCAGGTTGACGATCTCGTCATGCTTCAGGTTAGCCGTGCGGATTCCGTTCACAGACAGGATGTAGTCACCCACTGTCAGCGAGTCTGACCTGCACACAATAGAACATGTTACTTAGCAACACAGTTACCTACAGTTAGCGAGTCTGACCTGCAAACAATAAAACATGTTACTTAGCAACACAGTCACCCACTGTCAGCGAGTCTGACCTGCACACAATAGAAAATGTTACTTAGCAACACAGTCACCCACTGTCAGCGAATCGACCTGCAAACAATAAAACCTGTTACCTAGCAACACAGTTACCTACAGTTAGTGAGTCTGACCTGTACACAATAGAACATGTTACTTAGCAACACAGTCACCCACTGTCAGCGAGTCTGACCTGCAAACAATAAAACCTGTTACCTAGCAACACAGTTACCTACAGTTAGTGAGTCTGACCTGTACACAATAGAACATGTTACTTAGCAACACAGTCACCCACTGTCAGCGAGTCTGACCTGCAAACAATAAAACCTGTTACCTAGCAACACAGTTACCTACAGTTAGTGAGTCTGACCTGTACACAATAGAACATGTTACTTAGCAACACAGTCACCCACTGTCAGCGAGTCTGACCTGCAAACAATAAAACCTGTTACCTAGCAACACAGTTACCTACAGTTAGTGAGTCTGACCTGTACACAATAGAACATGTTACTTATTAACACAGTCACCCACTGTCAGCGAGTCTGACCTGCAAACAATAAAACCTGTTACCTAGCAACACAGTTACCTACAGTTAGCGAGTCTGACCTGTACACAATAGAACATGTTACCCAGCAACACAGTCACCACTGTCACTGACTTAGGCCAGCACAGTACCTGTGTATCTTTTAAACAGTCTATAAATATCTTTACAAATACATACACATGCTGCCTTTCTCATGTGAAGGATACATGGTCTAAGACAACAATTGCTAAAATTTGTGTTTGTATGACTTTTACAAAATAAGCCAAGACATGAGGACATCATTTGAATTTTTCAATATTCCTACTGGACAGCTTGGTAACACAGTTTGTGCAATAGTCTTGTCTCACAGTCACAGAACCGCTTTATTTTCCTTTTTACCTACCCCAAATGAAGCAAGTCTAGATTTCCTTAGGTTTTGAATCCCCCAACTCACTGGGCTCCTTTCCAGTTTAAGAGGAATTATTTGTTTCTTTCAAAAGTATATAGATTCAGAGACTGTACAGAGAGTGGTGTGCAATAACAAGGTAGGTAACTCTGCCATACCTGTGTGCTATTCCTCCTGGTCTGAGGTTGGAGATGTGTGGCCTTGTTCCTTTGTCTGTCCCACCTGGAGTTAGAGTGGAGAGTTGGTGAGGTCATATATCTGGTTTCATAGTAGAGTCAACAACATCATATTTACAAATATTATCACCATATGTTTCAAGGAAATTTATATCTTGTGCAACAGGGGCCGTGGGGTAGCCTCGTGGTTAAAGCGTTCACTCATCACACAGAAGGCCTGGGTTCGATTCCCCATGTGGGTACAATGCGTGAAGCCCATTTCTGGTGTCCCCTGCGATGATATTGCTGGAATATTGCTAAAAGCAGTGTAAAACTAAACTCACTCACTCTTGTGCACTGTCATAAAAGTCAACATTCCCAAATATATTCCACCTATGTAATGGTGACATGTAAATTAAGTCAAACCAAACAAACCGGTGACTGAGCATAGATCCATGATGCTGAGAACAAAGGAACCAAGTCACAAAGAGGGACCACCTGATTGGTGGCCTCTGAAGAGTGATTTAGTGAGCGAGTATGGCTTTACGCAACTTTTATTCCAGCAACATCACTGCAGGCTACACCAGAAATGGTCTTCACACATTGAACCAATGTGGAGAATCAAAAACCGGGTCTTCAGCATGACAAGCAGATGCTTTAACCACTAGGCTACCCCACCGCCCCTAGCTGTAGCGTGTGTTCGGGACCTACCTGAGACAGTGAGGCCAAGGCCATAGCCTTCCTTCTTCTGTAGCTCCACATAGGCCAAGCCCCGCCTCTCCTCTGAAACACAGAATAACCCACGTCACATGCATCGTTCCTTCATCAATTCCTTTTTTTAAAGCTTGTTTTTATGTTAACTCTGCACTCTAATATTTCAGTTATATTTGTTTATTTATTTCTCGTTTAACTTGGCTATATGGTGGCAATATAGCAGCGTTCAAAATTAACATCGGTCCTTGGGCCCGAAGCCGACTGAAAACCACTTGGACACACAGCTTCTGTTTTCTGCAGGTCCTTATGGCCTTGATAGCTGGGAATTACTTATATTGAGGCTAAAATATAGAGCCTGCACATTCTGATCAGGACCCACAACCTGGATCCCCGTAACTGGGATACGATGTGTGGACCAGACAATGTAGTGGTCGATATTCTGAGCAACAATTGTCGCTGTCTGGGTACAATTACATGCCATTATAGCTAAAACACATGGAATTATCATGAAACGGCCCTCCTATTATCAGAAATTTGCGGGCTGCTGCAAATGATATTGGACCGCTCAACCTTAACGACGGGCCACTATCAGTTCTGTTGTCAAGTGACGTCATAGCAGGTGCGTCGGTTCATTTGACTTTGGCTTTGGACTGGCAGATATTCTGGGGCAAAAAAGTCAAAGCAACCCTAATTCCCGCTTTAAGTAGCGGTACTATTGCCTTTCTTGCTGATGCTAACCTTAACAATTGCACTATTAGCGTTGTTGTAGGACCAAAACCGAACACTGACAACTGACGTTGTATCTGACATAGTTTGACATGCTGCAGGCCATTGGTCAAGGCCAAGGTCGAATATCGTATCGTTCTGTTGTGACGTCACTTGAATTGTTCGATGACATAATTGCATTCGGTCAGTCAACCCTGTCAGAAGTTGGTTTTGAGTAAACTTACAGTCAAATTCCTTCATTGTTTCCTTTTTCTTTTCAACACAAATTCCATGTATTTTAGCAATAATAACGGTAATGCTATTTTTGAGGGCATTATCATTTGCCATTTATCAGTTAATGGAAGACCTCGGGCTTCTGCAAATGATAATGCCCTCAAACATAGCAGTACCTTTATATTAACCATGTCACTGAGCAAACCATCGAACCCATTTGGTCGCCTCTTACGTCTGTCTGTCTATGTTTGTCTGTCTGCCTGTCTGTCTGTCTCTTTGTTTAACGCTACACTTGTCAATATTTCAGATATATGACAATAGTCTGTAATTAACTGAGTCTGGACCAGACAATCCAGTGATTGCCATCATGAGCATTGAGTATGCAATGGGATACGATGAAAAGTGTCAATATATAAGCAAGCCTGATCACCTTATCCCATTCGTCACCTTTCACGGCAAGCATGGGTTGCTTGAGGCCAACTCTAACCCGGATCCTATCGCATCTTACAACTTGCATTGGTTGCTGGGGACAGTTTTGAATCGAACGGGAATTGTTTTGAATTTCCTTAGCTGGAGCATGATGAATTGGTTATCAGATCAATTTGTTGTTCTGCAAGTACATCCAGGCAAACCCATCATATTCATATTGCAAGCAAAAATATGTCCTACATGTGAATCACATCTATCAACGTTATTGTAACCAAAATGTCACATCTACACTTACACACCTTATCAAAAGGTCAGCATGAAAATATGGTACATAATTCATTGTGACCTTCATCAAAGTCTTGGAGTATCACTAACATCGAAGAGTTTATATCTCTTCTTTGTTTTTGTTTTTTTAAATATTTTTATTTCCCAAAGTACATTTGTTTTGTTGATGTTGGTTGTAGCAAGTTAACACACACATGCATGTGTAGTGGTCATATGAGCGGAAATATTTTCAAGCCCGTCATACGCTGGCTTGGCATTAATTTCACCTCACTTCACCTAAAACCAGCACCTCATTGCAATGTGACATAAATTGATTTTCAATACTGACATTAATGTGTATCCAGTGTGCATAAAGTTACCATTATGAAAAAAGCATAGGCCTACACATATTGTTGCTAAAACAATTGGCAAGCCCACAATACTATCTGAATATAAAGCTTTGCAACCTATCGGGCTTACACAAAACAAATTGGCTTGCTACGAGCCTGGTATCTATACATTTATATCTATACAATTTAATGAATATTCATACTGGAGGTTAAACAAATAATTGATTGTCTCACACCATGAGTAGTTGGTAGCAAGATACTATTTCCTGCTCAACTGTTTATGGATCTAAGTTTACCTTGAAGAGGACTGCTGACGAAAGTACAGGAGATGAGGTAGCAGAGGTATTGGCGAGACGTTTATATTTGTTTAGATATCATGGTACAGCTAGGCCAAAAGAAGGCAGAAAATTAAACCTTAAAGATCACATATATACTCTAGGGGGTACAAATACATAAATCACTAATTGGCATCGTTATAAATGAAACCCCGTCATTCAAACTACTCATTTCGATCATTAATTAACTTAAATCGACCTTTTTGACAACAGTACACAATTCTCTCCCGCGAACGAAATTTCAACCAATCAGAGCGGCGTGTCTCTGTGACGTCATATGAGGAATAGATATGAGGGCTGATGCAGAATTTAAGTACATTTCAGGGGGTAAATTATCTTGTTTACAGGTTTGTATAAACCTGAAATCGCGACAATTGCTGTGAAAAATGAAAGCTATATGTTTTCACAATCTACTGTCATTTAATTTTGTCTCCTGCTTTGCCTAGTTTCCGAGTTACAACTTGTTTTCATAGACGATTCTATGTAGTTCGAGTAGTTCGTCTGATTGTAATAAAGTATCAAAGCAGTGTGGGCTTTTTTCAGGTTTTCTAATGCCTTCGGATTCAATTTCCGAATATACCCTTGAGTGTCTTTACACACTATAACAAGCAACAACAACTTTAACGTTAGTATTGAATTGTCAGGTTACTTTAACAATTACAAATACGTGAAAATTAATGAGGTGAACAGGTAAGATTTCGTAGCTGTTTAGTCCCGGGTAGCTGAGACATGCATCATGGGACCCCTCCATTATCGCAATAGGTAATGTTATCGGTATCGGGATTATGAATGCTTCTTGACATGTTTTACATATTTTAAGTTGACTGATGTTTTATCTTCAATTCTGTCTCATATAATGTGTCAGATAGTCGCAACTCGTTCAACACGATCACAATATACAAACCATTGTCAAATGTTTACTTAGGACACGTAACGAATCTAAATAGTTTAAATATTAAAAATAAATATTTAGGAATTACAGAATTGATTTTAGTAGCATCATCATATTTTAACCAAAACATCTGAGACTTCTATTCATTTGGATACACGATAACAATAATTTTTTTCCATGTGCTGAATTTACTGGTGAAGTTACACAATATGTCACTTCCGGAAAATACGCAAATGACTTTATAGTTGTCGCAGGATTACTCTTGATGAAGTAAGTTTTGATTCACGCAAGACGCAATGGCGGTAGAGGTCATATTAGTTTCAAAATGTTCCAGAACTTACTGCAAAGATGAATACTTAAACATTTCTAAAATTAGCCATGACATTCCACGAAATAAATCACTTTTTCAAATGCGATTAATTGTTTTTATGTACTTTGCATATGTAAACAACCGACCCTCAGCGTGGTGTTTCTGCTTTCCCGAGAAACCTGTTTATTCACGACTGTCAAGTAACCACCATGCTTGGGGATTTTACGGGACGCTTTAATCATCCCGCGCCGTGTTCGCAGCCAATCGAGTTGGTTCCACAGTGATTGAATTAATTAGGGTCAAGTGCTTCAGCTAGTACCGTGTAGTGCACCCGTCTTGTGTACAAGAGACGGTAGGCCATCTTGCGTACACGTTGCGTCTCTGACTGGGTACTATGCTAGTTGCATGGAACTCTGGGTAGGAGAGTGGTGACTGTACTTACCATCAATCAGCTGGTTGCTTGGTGGGGCATCGGTGACTGGCCGCAGCTGGACTGGGTCTGAAACACACATTACACACATCAGTCACATGATGGATTACACACATGAGAAGCCACAGACTGTGGATGATATGCCTGACTATGCCTGGCTTACAAATATTGCATGGCATACAAAGGGGAAAGAACTGTTAGATGTTCATCACAACGGGAGGGTGAGTGAATTAGTATAGTCATAGGCCAACTTTAGAATATTCCAGCAATATCACAGCTGGAGACACCTGAAATGGACTTCACGCATTGTACCAACATTGGGAATCGAACCCAGATCTTAGGCATGATGAGTGAGCACTTTAACCACTAGGCTACCCCACCACCCCTGTGCCTGAAGGAAAGCTGAAAGTGGAACTGAAACAAGTGTATTTGACAAGTGAGAATTTGGCTCACTATACTCAAAGCTTGTAATGTAAGATGGAGATAGAGACACATCAACAGAGCAGAATGGTACTGCAGCGTAAATAAACCCCAAACAGCCCTCCTGCATTCTGTGCAGTCGCAGTGATGCACTGTCGCTGCTACCTGCCACACAGATGCATCTGCTGCTGGAACTAGAACAGTCTGAGGAACATCCTGCAGGTGACAGTCAGTACCTGTTCCGTTTCAGCTTCAAGAATTTTTTAAAATTCCAAAATAATTGCAATCAAATTGAGGAAAAGTTGTTCTTTGTTAAGAAAATTTATTTAGTTTTGATTAATTCACAGTCTATGGAAACATTTCCACAAAATAATTGGACGATTTATATCGATAGACCTCTCCTCATTGTTCAAAATAATTGGAAAGTATTTTTTTATCCAAAATACCATTCCGCTTCTACTATTTTTATATGGTCTGAAGGAAGCTGGAATGGTTCAGTTTGACCTACACTTTCTTTGGTGTTTATGACAAACACCTTTAAAATAATCCTAAAAGTTGTAATACAAATTGGGAAAAATTATTAAAAATCATAATTCTAACTGAAATTCTTTACATCCTTTCTTGGCAGATTAGAGCTGAAAATTGGCCTCTCAGCAAGCTTAGATAAATCCTTCACAAGTCTGTCATGCTTTGGGTGGTATCGGGGGGTCAGTCTTGTTAACTTGGTTGACACAATGTCATCATATCAAAACTTGATTATTTACCGAATTACTGACCATATACCCAGGAAATTGCTGAGTGCAGGGTTAAACAAAAAATTAACCAAAAAAACCACAAACTCCAAAACAAACAAAACAATTCATGCTTATACATGATCACAAAAACTATTTCCCTAATAGCTAATCACAATCTTATCAAATTCCAACATAATTACATAGTAAACAGCTGGATATTCTCAATAAAATACATGTCACAAAAATAATTGCTATCTGATCACCCTAATGTCATAAAACGATATGGTTGAACAGTGAACCAGAACAACATATTAAGACTTTATCTCCCGACATCTGGCTCAGTCTACCGCCCACATCATGTGATGGGGATGAAGGAGAGAGGGGCAATTGTATTCCTTCCCTGGTGGTGGGAGGGAGGGAGGTTGTTTACACAAATATGTACTTGTACCAGTAAGATTATTGCATGTTATCAAGTGCTGCTCGGGCTGCACTGATGGAAACTTGCTATCAAGGTCACAGATATTCTTGTTACATTACATGTTGCACTTGTATCTTACTCCTAAGCACTTGTATCAATGTCCTTAACCAGATTATTTTTTCATACTTAAGTTAGTGAATGAGTTTGGTTTTATGCTGCTTTTAGCAATATCTGTGCTATATCACTTCAGGGGACACCAGAAACATGTTTCACACATTGTACCCATGTGGGGATTGAACCCGGGTCTTCAGTGTGATGAGCGAACACTTTAACCAATGGGCTACCCAACCAACCCTTTTTCAGTCTTGAATTTACAGTGCTTGTGAAACATTTTGATCAGAAAGGCAAAATAGCAGAAAAATGTTTTCCTAATTAGATGATGTGGTCATCTGTGTACTTTTAACCATGTTGTTTGTACAGTTGTTTCTGTGGGAAGCAGATTTGCATTTAATGGATTAAAAGGAAAAAAATTCATCTTAAATTTATTTTTACTATTTATTTTTTTACTTATATAAATCAGTCAACAAATATATTATCCCCTGTATCTACCAGGGTGTGTGTTAAAAGGTCTTAAGTAAAGTTAGGTCTGTGATAAGATTAAGAGAAACAAATATAGTTCCAAGTGAAAAGATCGCTAACGCAGGGTCTGTATGTTGTCTGATTTTGTCTTATTATTGCAAGGTATCCAGGCAAAATGTTGCAAGCTGTGATTTATTTGCAGTGAAGTGGCAATGGTTCTGATTGTCTGATAGTCATGGCAACAATATGTTCATGCCCAGTAAAGCTTGTTTTTATAATAAAACAACCTGTAAAACCTGTAAAATGCATATAATAATAATAATTATACATTTCTTTGCTCTCTGGCTTCATCAGCTTTCTGCCTAGCCAATTATGTTAATTATGTTGTTTTCTTTGTTACATTGTTACATCCAGTATATATACACTTCCCCCTTCTTCATGTTCCATTATGCTTGACAACGGTACAAGAATCTGTATCGAAACGTCGCACTCACGAATAAAAAGAAGTTGTTATCCATAAAGTTTGTTCTATATAATAATACATTCGTAAAGAGCCTACTATCAACCTTACAGATGCTCAGTGGCGCTAATACAGTGATAAAACTGAACATATATACATAAAACAGAGAATGATTATCTACTGGTACACAGATAGAAATAGGTGAGTCTTAAGCTGTGATTTAAAGGTGTCTTTAGTGGTTGTATTTCTGAGGTTTTGGGGAAGCAAATTCCAGAGTTGTGGACTGACGAAAGAGAAGGCGCGTTCGAAAAGTCCATTTAGTGATTTTGGTTGAGTCGAGAGAGAGTCACTGGAGGATCTGAGATTCCGCTGAGGTGAGTAAGGGGAGATAAGTTCTTTGAGATATGATGGAAAGTTTTTATTGTAGAGAGTCGTGAGTTTATTGTGCAGAGACAGAAGTGACAGACTGACTGACTGAGTTTGGTTTTCACGCTTTTAGCAATATTCCAGCAACATCACGCGGGGACACCAGAAATGGAGTTTGAAGGTGATTCAGGTCTTTGCAGAGATTGGGAAGCCAGTGAAGTGACTGAAGCACAGGAGAGATATGGTCATAGCGGGAAGAACGGGAGATACATCGGGCCGCTGAGTTCGGAGTTCATTGAAGCTTCTGAATTGATTTGGATGACATGTTCCCGTGCAGTGAGTTGCAATAGTCAAGTTTTGAGGCTTTGATATCAAAAAGTATTAAAACCCCTTGAAGGAAAATACTTCACATGGCATCTTGAATTATTTGCACAGCAAGATTAACTTCAAAAGTTGATATGGCACTGAAAGTCGGAAGCCTCCCGTATATGTCAGTCTAGGTAATACCAAACAAAACCTCATGAGAGACTGTTAACAAGCTGTCCAGCACTGGTAATGGTATGTCACTATGACAGTCAGCCCTGTTCTACAGACCCAAGCTAACCGTCATGTTGTAAGGATGCAGCTAAGGAATGCTGAGATCGGCATCTCAAGATGCCAGGGTTGCTGGAACCGGTCCAGGTGATACACAGCGGGAGGTGCAGTCGGCTAGTAAACACAGGTAAACTCAGGTAAACAATGAAATACCTTCTACCATGTCCACCTGTGTAGTACAACTGAGCTGCCTTGTTCTTAGAATACAACTATCATGGAATAATGAAGTTTGGTATAAATTATTACTACATTGTATATAGTGAGTGAGTGAGTTTAGTTTTCTGCTGCTTTCAGCAATATTCCAGCAATATCATGGCGGGGAACACCAGAAATGGGCTTCACATGCTGTACCCATGAGGGGAATCAAACCTGGGCCTTCAGCTACATGAGCGAACGCTTTAACCACTAGGCTACCCCACCGCCCCAAAATCATATAGAACTAAACATTAATCAAACCATATATTGTTGCTTAAAAACTATTCTGAAAAAATATATGAATCACAAACTTCCCCAGTTTGATTTCCACAATATTTTACAATTGCATCCATAGATCATATGGAATTAAAACACTAAATCGAGCAACATACTTCTTTTCGCACAATGTGAAATGTTGTGTTCACAGACACGTCTTACAAAATAACTTTCTTCTTTAGAGTGAGTGAGTTGGGTTTTTATCGTGACAAGCAGGACAAATGAAGTGAGTGAGTTGGTGTTACGCCTCCTTTAGCAATATTCCAGCAATATCATGGGGGGACACCAGAAATGAGCTTCACACATTGCACCCATATTGGAAATCAATCCCGGGGTCTTCAGTGTGATAAGTGAAGGCTTTAACCATCAGGCTACCCCAGCTGCCCCTCTTTCTTAGAAAGCAAGACTAGCATATTCTTCAATCTCATGTTCACAAAAATAAAAAAAATGTTCCAAATTTTTCATATTTAAAATTCCACAATATGACATACTTTCCATTTAACATGTTGAAGAAGTTCATGAAAAATAAAATTCTTGACAAAAAGTATAAATGCCACATAATAAGTAAATATTACTATACTGACTGACTGAGTTTGATTTTATGCCGCTTTTAGCAATATTCCAGCAACATCACGGCGGGGGACACCAGAAAATGGGCTTCACACATTGTACCCATGTGGGGATTTGAACCCGGGTCTTCGGCGTGACGAGCCAACGCTTAAACCACTAGGCTACCCCACCGCCCGAAATATTACTATACAGTACACTAAACCATCATAGTATTTAACATGAGTCTTGACCCTAGTAATAAATCAACAGGGAACTGTAAGTCAAGGTAAGGTTCTGGTATACAGACTATCATATCTTCACAGATACTACAGTTGGCAAGTTGACAAAACCAACATGGAGAATCAGGAAGTCACTTCATCAGCATCAGGACTACAGTTTAAACGAACACTACATCCCACGTTCACTTACCGGCATCAAGACTGCAATTATAATGAACGCTGTAACTGTAATAGTAAAA